CTTTTAAATACTTGACAATGCACATTCGTTTGTACGTATTCATGAATTAAGAATACTGAACTACAATAAATATTTCCTTTACCTCATAAAATCGAAATATATGTGTACATCTCTCGTGAAATATCTATCAAAGGGATGTTTTTCAAAAGTTGTTTAGAAATAGTACGTTATATCATGTAAATTATTTTTTTGCACATCGAATTGTGAGATAAATTTTAAGGACAAATTAATTTTTTGAATGGAATTTTAAAAAATTATAATTAATATTTTTTCCATAATACGATGACATGCTGAGATGAATTCAACGATCTGTATATAATATTATTTACTTTTGTAAAATGTTATAAATTAGTATAAATGTTATATATTAGTATTAATGTTATTGATATTAATGTTATAAATGTATATAAATTAGTGAACCATTGTGAAATCAAATAAGCTTAAATCATTAGTAAATGAGCATGCTACAAACAATAATCAAACTTTTTACTTCTATTCGTGTTTCTTATAGTATCGATATAATTAATTGAAAATTTTATTTATTAATTTTTAATTGAGGGAATAGAAATAGTATCATTAATTTCTTTGTTCATATATGACTTCAAAAATAATAAAAATAACAAGTTTCTGTGGTGAATTATGACACAGTGGAATTTACAGAAAGTAATTTTATTTAACTAGTTATCTATATATTTTACAATATAATTAATAATTATTATGTGATAATATACTGTTCTCGCACGTGTTTCGCTATTGACAATACTAATAAGAATAGTGTGCTATACGCACGGTATGTCTTTACCCAGTAGCGTTGCTCATATCTATAGCATCCTGTGCTATTTACTATTCATCAGTTTCAATTGCTGTTACTGTATTATGAAACAAAAATATAATGAATTCTATGTAAAAAAATAAATTTAATTTTGAAAGTTCTCATTCGATCTGTAGAAAAGTAATTTATATCACATGTTATGCTCTTTTTTGTAAAAATATACTTTTAATAGGTTCAATTTTTTACGAGATATTTTAATTTTATGAATTAAAGAAAACACTTAAAGGTAAAACAACATTCATTTAATTTATTCATATGTTATATGATTATAATACAGTGGAAAATATAATGGAAATACATTGTAAAAATTTGTATTGAATATATTACTATATGATTGTTATAATAATTGTCAATGACACACAATTCTTTCTTTTTATTTTTAAATATTTGTTGCTATGAGATAAATTAAATTCTATGGAATAAAATAAATTATATTATATGTATCTGATTAAAAAATTATATTATTTTTCATAATTGCTACTGTATATGTCAGTAAAATTATATTTGATAAATAAAAACATTTTTTTAAGAAATATGAATTAAATCATTCAAATTATAGTAAAACAATTTTTTGTGCTTTACTCTAGCTGTAAACATGAATTTAAAACATGTAAAAGTATGTACGTATTCGAATTCATATATTTAGTAAATAACTCTGTATATTTGTTTACAAAGCATTCTAATTGTTCTTAAACGAAATTATGAGATTTTTTGATTATTTATAATGATGAACCTGTAATTATTTTATCAGGGCAAAGTTATTTTATCGTTCGTAAATTATAAACTATAAATTATCAATTTCTTATTTTAAATATGATTATATAAATTAATTATAGGATGTTTTGCTTAATTTCGTCTAATATTGTTAATAGCGGAGCAGGAAACAACTGTTTATATCATATTTTACCTTCATAATAATACTTTGTGTAATTAAAAAATCATATTTTTATAATTATCTAATTTTTATGCATATAGATGAATATACTTGCACACCTGAAATAACTTTTAATTATACGTCCTGTTTTTTTAGTGAAAAATTGTTTAATACAAAAGTTGTATCTCAAGAAAGGCAAAATATGGCGTATCAACTTTTTTGTATATGTTGAGGGGTTCCAAAATTTTCAAGCTCATCTCTATTTTTTTAATTAAAAATATATATATTATCTATATATTTTTTTCATCATAAATCGAAAGAATATTAAATTCTAAGTGAAAGAATATTAACCCTAAGTTCTAAACTTAATAGTTAAGGAGATATTTTATGATAATTTATCTCGAGGATGAGAATTGCGTGGTATCGTCAGAGGATTCGACAATGTTTAAACACCAATGTTATTATTTTACGTTCGGATGTAGAGTTAGTCATATTCGGGCAATTCATTCTGTTGGTCGAAATTCTGTTCCAAATTCTGCAATTATGTAAAAATAGAAGTATTAACGCTAAAGGTACGTAACATTTGTGACATGGACGTGCTCCAACTCAGCGTGGCAAATTAGAAATTAGGAATACAATCCATATGTTAGTACACGACAGATTTCTCGACAATCGGGAACTAATCAACTAAGTGTACTTCGAATTCTTCATATCCATAAAATGCACCCATATCACTTACATATATTTTCATTAGGAGCTTCATTGATCCGACTTTCAAAATCGAGTGAAACAATTTGCTGAATAGTTTTTACAGCAAGGAAGTGTTGATGAAAGTTTTTTTAGAAAATGTATTTACGGACAAAGCAACATTTACTAATCACGATAATGTCAATTTACGCAATTTACATTGTTCCTATTGATAAGAGAAGTTAATCATCAACGTCCAGGGAACATTAATGTGTGGTGTGGCATAATCGGAAATCGAATAATTGGTCCACACTTTATTGATGGATGATTAACGGAATAAAAGTAGTTGAATATCTTGCCAGTTTTGCTGAAAGATGTGCTCTTACACATTCGTTCAATACTTTGATACCAACATGATGGTTGTCCGGCTCATTATTCATGTGAAGCACAAAAAGTGTTACAAAGATTATTTGAAACTCAATGGATCAATCGTGGTCAATTTCTGTGGACACTTTGTTCGCCCGATCTGACTCTTTTAGATTATTTTTTATGGGATACGTTAAATGAGAAAATATACAATCAAGCATCAATAATGAAACAGCGAATTCTACAAGCGTGTAGTGTAATTAGTGCACAATGAATTTAGAATGCCGTTGATTCATTGATTCCACGATTACAAAATTGTATAAGTGTTAACGGACACCATTATAAGCATTATAAGATAGGATAAGATAAGGTCACTTATGTTTATAAATTATTGAAAATAATAAATTATCGTAAAATATCTTCTTAATTATTAGGTTTAGGACCTGTTGCGTGGCGATTTGAATCCACGTATTAGACGTTGATTTGATCGATAGCTTGCTGCCTACAACGTGAATGAAAGGCAGCTGGTTCAAGTAAAAGTTTGATTAGTGTTAGGTTGATAGGATTTTAATTTACTCGTCAGAAGTAAGTTTTCATTGGATGATTTAAATAATCTGACGAACATGAATTATATCAATAAAGAATGTAAGAGCAAATAAGTAAGATTGGATAAGTAAGAGAGTAAGTTGATACATGTAAGAGTGCTGTGAGAAGATTGAACGCGCTGAGAATGCTGAATGAGACACTCGCTTGAACTCCTGAAAACTACTGACTTTTTTTTTTTTTAATTAGTCAGGATGTCTTGTCTGCAGTACCTTGGGCTTGGAGTGCCCTTTAACCTGCATTTAAAATGATTAGTGTAATATGGTGATGTTGTTTGACGTTTGTGCGGGGAGTTTGTTGAGGTTGTGTATGCAGGAAAGTCAAACAACCTGCAGGTTACTGATTTTTTTCTTCGTGAATTGGTCTTATATAGATGTAGATTCTATTGTTTTCCCCGGGGTCACGGGATTAGGCAGGTAAGCTTGAATCAAGATGTGTCGTTGAGCGAAATCGGTCTCATAAAGTAATAATTATCTTATGGGCCTAGGATGCGTCCCTTGCAATATGTTTTATATTTATTTATGGCGAGGACAGTTGCGATAAAGACTACAACAATGAAATTATAGAAAGTAATAGAAGTACGGTCACGGGAAATCCTTGCCGTGGAGAAAATGATAAATTTGAAAATTATTATTCCTGGCTCGATGAATTTATTTTTCGTATCACAGTTTGGCCTTTACTGTGTTCGAACAGGACCAATCTAGGGTTATTTTTTTACTTAAAATTTAATATTCTTTCGATGAAAAAAATATATAATTTAATTATGAAAAAATATAGTTTAATTTAAAAAAATAGAGGTGACCTTGAAAATTTTGAAACCCGTCAATAGACACAAAAAATTAATACGCCATATTTTGCCTCCCTTAAAACCATACTTTTGTATTAAACAATTTCATTAGACGCATAATTAAAAAGTTATTTCAGGTGAGCAAGTTGTAGCCGTGATATTCACCCTGTGTATTTTGTGAATATATAGTATTCTTCTGTCTATTTTGAACGACACTTCATCTGTTTGATCATGGCACTATTTCTGGACAATCCATGTGGATTGAAATGATACATTCAATATTTAAAATGTTTATTAAACAAATTATTTGCATTTTTATGAAAAACTATTTATTTTCGGATTAAAAGTAAGTTTTTTTAGTTAAACGATCTAGATCAGAGGTGGCTAACTGGCGGCCCGCGGACCGCATGTGGTCTTTATCTCACTTTCTTGATAGTGCTATCTCCTGCACTGCATCGATCTCTCTACTGCGTTAAGAGTGTCGCGGTTACAATACTCGCATTATATATATAAACATATAAATTGTTTTCTTTATTGTAATTGCTAAAGTTAAAGGAAGATAGGGAAAACAGTTTGTATGGCCCGCTGCTGCGAGACAAAATGAACAGTGAGAACTAATTTTTATGGTGGAGAAACCGGCAGACTGATGTGAGTGAGTAGCTCCTGCGGTCCGCAACGTGGAAGAAGTTCGCCGCCTCTGATCTAGATTATGTACTATTTTGTTTTTCACATGTATCACATATCAATGTATTACTAAATATTATTACTTATATTATAAATATTATTAATTGTTATTAAATTATAGAGATTACAGATTTTACTTATTTTATTTTGTTTATCTATTTTCTCAGGAATAAAGATAGAAGAATGCGAATCAACGAAGGAAATCCTGTAGCGACCAGTACTCTTTCTTCAGAATCGATGACCACTTCCATCAGAAGCTTGGATGATGATCCTACGACGTCGCCAAAATCTTCTCTTCCTTTATCTACGTTATTTATCGAGGACTGTGTTTACAGAGGAGAAGGAAATGCTAATGTTGTTATTGCACTTCCACAAGTAAGATAACATATCTTCTTTCTTTTGTTTCCTTAATTTTTGACTACCAAAGTTATTTTAACATGTCACATTTATCTATTGCTAGATATTTGTGGAAATAAGCTCATAAATGAAAAATTACAGTTACAGTATTTTTACGAAATTTTCATATATACACATAGTACAACAGTATATTGCAAATCATTTTGACGTGTTTTTATCAGCTAGATTAGCTGATATCCGAGGATTAAAAAAGCTGAAAATTAAAGAATGCTTTCACTGCTATTTTAGTTATTAGTCCTCACGTAATTAACCACACTTTGCCACGTGTTACTGACCAGTACTTATCTCCACCAATTTTTGGAATTGGGACTACCTCTACTTACCGTGTGGTCGCGTGAAACATATCACTTGACACATAAAACAAGTGATATATGTATATGATACCAATATTGGTGCCTGGTATCGATGAAACAGTTGACGCTCATCTGATGCCAATTTCTGGAATACACCTTTACGCTTAACTGATCGGTTTCGGTCCCGACTGGGGTTGGTCAGTTACGTGTGAATTACTGTATATTTATATTTATATTTATATACTTTAATCTATCCTAAAGGCACGTATTCACTATATCTGAGACAGTATTCGTAAATATACAGGGTATATGTTTCGTAACATGTGGGACCCACTTAGGGAGCTGATTGTACGCCTAAAAACAATGAAAGAAAGTCATATAAATATATGTCCTATCTGTCTTCGTTTATGAGATATAATGAACTTTCTGTTTTAATTATCTTTACAAAAGGTGCTCAAAATGACCAACCATATACATATCTGCAAACTTTATATTTATATTGTAAACATCTTTTGCAAATGTGAACATAAACTTGTGTATATTTTAACAAAACAATTGACTTTAAGACTGTGAAGTTACAAAATCTGAGACTCCTTCTTTTTACCTAATACACTAATAAGACGAAAATAACAGTAACAATTTTTACAATTTCATATACAATTATGTAAGATATAAGATATTAAATTTTTAAAAATATAAGAGTTGGCTGAGAAGTAATGAATTTTCATCTGTATCTCAAGAATGAAAGCTACTATCAAAATGAAACAAAGAAAAAAGTATGATTCAAAAGTATGATAAAGAAGAAAGTATTCATTATCTACAAAATACCAAATTTGTTATTCTATATAATCATCATTAAGTTTAATATATTTTTGCCAATGCGTGACGAATTTTTTCATTTTGTTAGCAAAAAACTTTTATTGTTTACTTTTGATAAAGAGAATCACAGATTTGAAACAATACTCTTGAGTGGTCTTTTTCAATTCTGAAAAGAAAAGAAATGGAAATACAAAGGAACCAAATAGGACTGTAGATAGATACCGATCTTAAATCACAACAACTTGAATCTCGTTGACATCATAACCGTATCGAATTTTGCTTGGAATGATTCTCTACATCGAGAAAACTTCTGGACATTTCGCATGTTTATAAAGGAGAGATGTAATTATAAAGTGAGTTCTTACTAAAGATACAGATGAAAGTTCATTATTTTTCAGCCGACCTTGTATATCTTGATTTTCCTTTAATGGGATGAAACGATTATTATCATCGGGTAGGCTCACTACCCGGAGCCTACAACAACAACCATCAAAACCTTCTCATCAGGGAAACAGGCAACTATCAAGTCGAAAACATATTCAGAGTCAAGGTCAAATTACCTAAACACGCAATAACCTAATGAACAACCCGAACCAAAACCTTCAGATTCAAACTGTATCAAGAAACCTGCAGGTTATTTGAAACTTTTTCTGCAAGCCTAACTTCACCTCATCATGCAAACAAACCACACAAATATCCACAAATAATATCAATCTTCATGCAGGTTAAAGGGTACTCCAAGCCCAAGGTACCGCAGACAAGACATTCTGACTAATTAAATAAAATAAAAAAAAAAAAGAGCTCTTAGGCAGTTGAAGCAGTAGTTCATCTCACGGATGAGAGGTTAAAGATATTCAGTTTGAGTTCATAGTGAGAGTAGTACAATTCATCGGTTAGATTTTATATCGGATACAGTCATTAAAATCAAATTGACAAATAAATCGCGACGCGAAAATACAGGTGAATAATCGGGAAGTGTTAATACGCCAAACCGATGCGACCGGAAATAAACAACGCCCAACAACAATTTCCAATCTAAATTCAAATTCTAAATCTAACCGTTAACTTAATTAACTGGATCAATCCACTAGAGGAAACCATTCTGTTTAGAGAAACCTGAACAAACAGACACTCAAAAACCAGGCCAGCGAAATCGTAGGAAAAACAACTATATGGGTAGGAAAACGGAAACTAAAAGAAGAGCAAATAAAAATCATATCCACACGTAGAAGATCAACATCACTCTCAGACTCCACCCCCGTGACCAAAATCAACAGAGCAGAAGATATGGACATCATAAATTTTGATATTCAGACCAAAAACAGGTTCAGCATTTTCGCTGACTGCTTAGTAACAGAATCAGAAAACAATAAAATCCACGCTAAACAGAAAACACCTCAAATCACGAAAACATTACAGCAAACACAAATCCAACAAACGCCAAACGTACAACCTGAAACTACCACCAATATACATACATGGAAATATAAATCACATTAAACTATTGGACGCACTGAAAAATAAATATGAAAACTCATTTCAAATAAAATTCGTTTCCAACAAACTAAAAATAATGTTCAGTAACATAACCGACTTTAATGAATTTAAGAAAATATGTAAAACAGACAACATAGAATAGTATACATACACAATCAGCTCAGACAAAACAAACACTGTAGTTTTAAAAGGGTTAATTCGGCTCCCAATAGAGAGAATACGCGAAAGCATAGAAAGCTAGGGCCATAAGATTGCCATAAGGTTAGATCTCTATTTTTTATGTCGGAGAGTTTCTGTTGCCAGGTCTTGTTTTTGATGTTTTTAATTTTTTGCTGAATCTGATTGGTGAAAATATTTCTGAGTAGTTTATAAAAGGGGTTACCTGTTTTCTGATATTTTCTTCTAATATAGTTTCTTTTCTTGATGGTGTCTGTGAGTGTTGAGTCTATTTGTTAATTTTGTATGTTGTATCTATTTTTGTGGAATTGCGGTATACATTAAGTATGACGAGTAAATGTCCTGATTTCTGTGTCTATATCTGAATTGTTTGTTAGGTTCGGTTTTATATCTTATTTTATTACATAGTTTTTTGTATTTAGTCCAGTTCAGTACGTTCTTGTGTGGCCTGATTTCTTGTTATTTTATGCATGTGTATTTTCAGTTCTATAGGGAGATGATTTGATGGCAGGTCGTCTATTGTTTGGCATTCATAGAGGTAAGGAATATTCGAGAGAAAAATATCAATGTTAGAAGGAGTGCAGTTAGATTGTCTGTGTGTGTATTTTGGGGTGTGTATAATCTAGTTGTGTAATTCTGTGTGATTTTTGATTGTGGAGTCATTTGCGTTTCTCTTGGTGTTGTTCCACATGCTGTGTTTAGCATTGAAATCTCCACCAGTGAGAAAGAGGCCAGAGCTATGTGGAGTAATAATATTGTCTAGGTCTGACTGATTTATTCTTTTATTTGGAGGAGAATATGCTGCGCCAATAATGATGGTGGGTGTAGTTTTTAGTCTTATGGTGAGGATTTCAATGTTGGTGGAGTTTAGTTGTGGGATATCTTCTGTAGGTATGCCGGTACGGGTAGTTATTACTAAACCTCCACTGGGTTTTCTTTGAGTGGAAATTGGGCGGTCTTGTCTGTGGATAGTATAATGTGTTAATTTGAATGTGCCGGTGAGTTTTAGCCATGTTTCTGTGATGACTACATCTATGTTATGATTTATTAGGAATTTTTGTAGTTCTAGGATTTTGCTTCTAACACTCGTAGCGTTCCATAAGGTTAATTTTAAAGTTTGTCTATGGCTGTCCATTTTCGAGTTCTTTAACTATTTGTATGGTGTTTTTGACTCTATCTAAGTTATTGTACAGTTGTACAGTTGACTGTATCTAAGTTATTGTTATACAGTTATACAGTTGACTCTATCTAAGTTATTGTTATACAGTTATACAGTTTACATAATATTTTTGGATTAATGTAATAATTTGGAGGAAAAGATCAAGGTCTGTGGATTTTATTTGGTCAATTTGTGCTCTAATATCCGGATTTTTGTTTAAATGTGTCGGTCGGCTATGTTTTTGTTGTGGTGTAGCTGCTTGTGCGTATGTTAATCCATATCTAGATCCATGTGTCTGTAGAATAGAGGGGAGATTTGATTTGAGGGAGGGATGGAAATTGTTGTAGTTGAGGTATGACGGTTGGACAAGTGTTTGTATCTTGTTGGTATAGGTGTTTTTTTTTTTTTTTTTTTGCAAGGTAGGTTAATAGCGCTGGACATTGTGAGTAGTTTGCTGGATGATTTCCTTTGCAATTTGCACAAGTGGGTGGAATTTCTGGAGTTTTGGAACAGTTTCTGGAGTCATGTAATCTGGCGCATTTTACATAAACTGCTTTTTTGTTGCAATTTGCCGACGTGTATCCATGGGCTTGACAGCGGAAACATTGTACAACGAGTTTTTTAGATTCATATTTTTCCCAATATATTTTGATATTTTCTATGTATCGTATGTGATTTATTTGTGCTATTGAGGTCCCTGGTGCAAATATTACTCGGTATATCGGGAATTTTGTGTGTGTGGGTATTTCGGTGCAGTGTAGTGGTTTTAGTCTCTGATCCTTTATACTATTGATGATTTTTTCTTCGTATAATTTAATAACTTTGAGGACAGCAGTGGTGGTTTTTTCAGTGTTTATGGTACAAGTGTGATATTCTATATTTTCCTTTATACAGATGTTTTTAAAGTCTGTGAAGTCTGTTAGGTTTAACATTAGGTAAAAACATTTTTAAATTATGGTTAGTGAATTTAACTTGATAAGTACTTTTTATTTCTCCTTGAGGACCCAGTAATC